TACTACTACTACTACTAATTCAGACTGCTTTGTTAAACAATCACACAAACAAAATAAAGGGGCCAGCTGTAATTTGTTTTTGTAACCAGCATAGTAAGGAAAGTTTTCCTAAAAGGTGGCGTATACATACATTAAATTAATTAATGGTATAGCATTCAGCTTGGTCCTAAGGATCATACTTAAATGAAATGCTAAGAACATTCAATGCTACACACTTTTCAGCTCTTGCCTCCCCAAGTCACATTTTGATCAGGGCTTACTTTTGCAGGATTCCTGTTTTTCATCATCATTGCCATTTTATGAGAAGTTTTTAAAAAAAAACCCCAAAAAATACTAAGCAGGAAAATCATAAGTACAGATTGGAATGCAATACACGGCGTAACTAGCAATGCCACTGGCTGAAGTAGATGTATTTACAAGGCAATAAATGACCTGAATAGCTCCCCCAAAGTGACCCCTCCAATTTCATTTTTTTTTAATAATATTTTTTATTGCTTTTTTCCAAGGTCAGATACATCATCAATAATTCAACAAAAGCGACTTTACAAAAAAGAAAAAAGAAGATTATAAAAGAAAAAAAAATCACATTTTACAAACAATTTTTCATGATCCACTGGACTTCCCCACATCCTCCAGCCCCTGCATCCTTTACAATAAAGAAAAAAACAGCAAATTGATACCTTGTTTCATGCGTTTTTGTATTTTCATCTAATTATATTTTAGATTTAGGGTACTTGTCATTAACTCACTTTTCCATCGATCCTAAGAATAAAAACGTTACTCTAAACTTTAGTCATTTCCCAGTCGTAACTTAGTTTCCACCATAATCAAATTTAATTGCTGAAGCTTGTTGTCCCCAAACTTAGCAAATTCTCAACATTCATATAACTTATAATATTTTTGTAAAATAGTCCTTAAATTTTTTCCAGTCCTCTTCCACTGCCTCTTCTCCCAGGTCTCGGATTCTGCCAGTCATTTTGGCCAATTCCATGTAGTCCATCAGTTGCGTATGCCACTCTTCCAGCGTGGGTAGCTCCTGTGCCTTTCAATATTTAGCTAAAAGAATTCTTGCTGCTGTAGTTGCATATAAAAAGAGGGTTCTGTCCTTCTTTAGCACTCTCTGGCCCACAATGCCCAGGAGGAAGGCCTCTGGTTTCTTGTGAAAGGTATACGTAAATACCTTTTTCAACTCATTATAAATCATTTCCCAGAAGGCCTTCACCCTCGGGCATGTCCACCAGAGGTGAAAGAATGTTCCTTCAGCCTCCTTACACTTCCAACACTTATTATCAGACAGATGATATATCTTTGCAAGTTTGACTGGGGTCATGTACCACCTATATATCATTTTCATAATGTTTTCTTTCAAGGCATTACATGCCGTGAATTTCATACCGGTGTTCCATAACCTTTCCCAGTCTTCAAACATAATGTTGTACCCAATATCTGACCCCTCCAATTTCAGATGGTTAATTGCCTCCTTTTCCTCACACCCACTGATCAAAATTTTGCCTCTGCTGATGCCCACTGGATTTTTTCTCCCAGCAAGCAGTTAACATAAAATTGAACTGACTTTTCTGGTAGTTTGTCCAGTAAAAGGGGCAACAATTTGCTGACAAGCTCCAGGCTTACCACTGCAAAACAAAATAACACATATAGCACAGAGGGATTGTTTTGATATTTCACAGAATGAATGTACAGAATATGTATCAGGACATTTATTTATTGCATTGATTTCCAACCTTATTTCTCCATGCAGTTTAAGGTGATGTACGTGTTCTCCTGCTCCCCATTTTATCCTCATAACAACCCTGTGAAGTAGGTCAGGCTGAAAGGCAGTGACTGGCCCATGGTCACCCAACGAGCTTGATGGCTGAGTGGGGATTTGAACCCTGGTCTCTCAAGTCCTAGTCTGTCACTTTAACCAGTATTCACCACATTGGTAATGCCAGAGGAAGCTCTCTCTCTCAGAAAAAAGTTATGATATGACAGGGGCTAATAAGCTATCACATATCAAGCAGCTGTTTCAGATTTAATAAGGCTCCCTTGTCTCAGTAATCTAAGAATCACAAAGCAGTGAGACAATGGATGCTTTCTTGGAAATTATTTTTAGCCAATCATTCAAGTACATTTCCAATTGCAGATGTTGAAAAGCAAGTATTAATCATCTTCTGATTCATCCTCCTTACTTTAAGCCCTCTGTTATTTGAAGAATATTGTGTATATTGTCACAAAGCCGCTGAAAAGTCATCAATCTGCCCAGCAATTCAAACAGTAGACTTTTTAAAAAGCAATCATTTTTAAAAGTTTTTGAAAGATAAAAGCAAACAACAACAAGTAGAGGCTGCTTGTTCCACGACTCACCCATATTACATAGCTTTAGTATTTAGCTTTTTGAACTGAATTATTTGTTATTCTACCCTGCCTCTCTTTTTGCATGACACAGAATCATAGTATCGTAAAATCATAGAACTGTAGAGTTGGGGCAGGGTCCTTGTGGCTTGTCTAGTCTAACCCCCTGCGATGCAGGAATCTCAACTGAAGCATCCATGACAGATGGCCATCCAACTTCTGCTTATAAATTTCCATGGAAGGGAGTCCACTCTGCTCAATTCACTAGTGCTGCATCACACTGCTACTCATGTTAAGCTTGTGGTCTTCTAAGACCCCTAGATCCTTATCACTTGTACTACTGGCAAGCCAGGTGTCCCTGTTCTTATATTTGTGCAGCTGGTTTTTCCTGACTAAGTGTAGGACCTGCCATTTGTCCCTCTTGAAATTCATTTTGTTATTTTGGCCAGTGCCTTTTTTATGGGGGGGGGGGAGAGGTGCTGGTATTCACCATGAAGTTGTTACAGTAAGGGCTGTTTGTTTAACCTTGTAAGTTCTGATTCTCCTCACAGTTTTGGTGCTGGCCATGGTACTAACCTTCACAGCCGCATTGCATGAGGTTTGACTAGATAACCCTTAGGGTACCTTCCAAGTTTGCAATTCCTCAAAGCTTCCCTCCTTCCCATCCTCGTACTACCTGGGGCTCGTAGCACTGGTTTTGGTGACTTCTGCTGCTCCTGTGCCTGCCCCGCCATGACCATCACGAGTGCCGCCAGCAAGGCAACCAGGTCGCGCAAAGCCAGATGATGTCAATAACCCATCACCACAAGTTGAATCAGAGCTCTCACAAATTCAGAGTGCTCTATCATTCTGCTACCCTGTTGTCTGCAATAATAAAACATTAAAAACCCATTGCTCTTGTTAACGCCACATACACAAAATGTGCACAAATAATATGTGTGTGTGTGAAATTGCAAACAAAAGGGACACAGGTGGCACTGTGGGTTAAACCACAAAGCCTAGGACTTGCCGATCAGAAGGTCGGCGGTTCAAATCCCCACAATGGAGTGAGCTCCTGTTGCTCGGTCCCTGCTCCTGCCAACCTAGCAGTTCAAAAGCACGTCAAAGTGCAAGTAGATAAATAGGTACCGCACCGGTGGGAAGGTAAATGGTGTTTCCATGAGCTGCTCTGGTTCGCAAGAAGCAGTTTAGTCATGCTGGCCACATGACCTGGAAGCTGTACATTGGCTACCTCGGCCAGTAAAGCGAGATGAGCACCGCAACCCCAGAGTCGTCCGTGACTGGACCTAATGGTCAGGGGTCCCTTTACCTTTAAAATTGCAAACAGGTGCAGAAGTGGGGCAAAGTGAACTTTAGACTGGGAAGGTAAGAAAGTGAGAGTAAACAAACCTGATGGATTTGTCTACCTATAGTTGTATAGATGGCAGGACTGAAGCCATTTGACGCTTGACTCTTCCATTGAGACACGGCTTGGACTTTTTCAGCTCAGTTTGTTTAGTCACAATTTCCTCTAAGTGAACAATCAGAAGCTGAAAATATTTCAAATGATTCAGTGAGCACATTAAAATATGCCCGCAGGAAGGAGTGCGGTTTTTAATTTGGCCTTCCCACTGTCTCACTGATGTATGCCTGTGGAGATGTGACACAGGAGTTCTGAATGCTAAATAAAGCAGTCAGAGCAGAAGAGCCACTGCAGTCACTCTCTGTGATGTTATCGCTCTACCCCGCTCCCCGCTATCTGAGGCCTCTTTGCTTGCCTGCTCTTCTGTTCTGCTGCTCAGATTGCCAAAAGGAATAAGATAATGCATGACTGGCAGCCAGCAGCTTGGAGTGAGGATTGCCACTTGTCACATTGCAGCTACTGTCTGCCAAGGGAGAGAGTGTGGGGAGGTAATCCACTTTCAGAAAAACTCAAAACCTGTAAAATGGTGCATGTTTCCCAAGTATGCAATTTAGATACTGAAAAAGCAAAGGAAATGATATCATAGCAGCTGTTCCAACTATGGGCTCCTCTAAGCAACTCTGTGCATTGAGAATTGGTCGCAGAAAACATACGCAGAGGTTAGATTAGCAAAAGCAGCATTTGTTCTGATTTGTTTACAGGCTGGTTATTTTACATGGGCATTCATTCTGAATTCATCCTTTTCCACCTGCAAGATGTTCATGTTTTTCCTTTTACCCATTTGTCCATACCACATTTTTTATGCATTCCCCCAGCTCTTTCTCTTCCATTTTTGAAACAGCAACTGAGTTAATGCATCTTTCTCCCAAGATCCAGTGGCGAAGGAAGGGGGGGTTGGCCGTCCCGGGTGCCAGCCTGTGGGGGGTGACATCGCCATGGGTGGGCGCCTCCCCCTTGGTATGCTCACACGTGCGACATGCCATGCCACCCCAGGTACTGAAGCGCCTTCCTCCGCGACTGCCAAGATCCACTAGAGTGACTGAGTCCTTTAAAGTGAATTAAAGTGAAGCCACAAACCTAAAGTTCAAGTGTGCACTTGATTTCCTTCCACAAAATTCTTGAAGTCTGAAGGACCCCTGTCCCCTCTAGAGAGCCACTTTTTTTTTGTATTCCTTCTTGGCAAATCTCTGCATTTTATTTCTTTATCTAACCTTAATCCATTCTCTGGATGGTGGAATCAGTCGTGCTAATTACCTTGCAGGGGAAACACGCTGATTGTGAAGGAGGTTTTCCCAGGGTGAAGTTCATCCATTGAACTTCGGGTGTGCCGACCCTTGTGATTTTCCCTAATGTGGGAAACTCGACTGCATAATGGTTTTAGGGATGTATTTTCTGCATCAGTGTGGATTTCCATTGTGTGATAAGGTAGAACTTAGACTCCACCAAACAATATGTGAGCCTGTGGTGTCAGATGTAGTGTGCTTAATGGTGCCCAGAGCCAGAAAATACTTAATTCGGAGGAAGTAGATTTTCTATGTGTATTAAATGTTTACCCCTGCACCTGCATATTGAGTAAACAACACCATTTCTGCTCCTGTAATAAACTATTATATTCATTTTCAGTTACAAGCAATTACTACAAAAACTACCCTTTTACAGTAAAAATGTTCTGAAAATATTGTAAAAAATGTTTAGAAGAAAACCTATTGCTAGCTTGGTTGGTTTGAATGTGGTGCCACTTGCATATTCCTGCATTGCAGGGGGTTGGACTAGATGATCCTCAGGGTCCCTTCCAACAGTACAATTCTGTGATTCTCTGAGAACTAATGTTTACTGATGTTTATAGTTATGGAGGGTTTTTTCCTAACCTCTTTAAGAAACTTGGAAGAATCTGGTCTTTGAGTAGAGAAATGCCCCCAAACATTATTATTTGGTTTGTGTCAACCAACTCGCACTTCCCTGACCATTTGTCTATGAACAAATGATGGGATTTTTTTACTACCCCAATCCACTCATATTGGCTGAGTTAATGCATTTGTGGAACATTCCATGCCACAGATGGTTTTTTGTTTGCTTGTTTCCAGAAAGAAAATGGTAATTAATATTATTATTATTATTATATATTATTATTATTATTATTATTATTAATTTATTTATACCCCACCCATCTGGCTGAGTTTCCCCAGCCATTCTGGGTGGCTCCCAATCAAATGTTAAAAACAGTACAGCATTAAGTGGTAACATGGTAAGTAGTTGCTGGCTCTAATTTGGGGACATTGACAGTTAACAATATTTGACAATGGTCTAAGAGGACTACCAGCCATTCTACTTGTGTGTAAATTGCACAATGAAAAGTGCACTTTGGGGTGAGTGTCTTACACCACAAAATTGGATGAAGGTTAAAAGCATTATTGAACGACTTAATATTTTAAAAATCTTTAAGTAGTGTGCCCAATGTACAATATAATAACAATATCCATTTTTTTAAAATGACCTAAAACCAATAAAACAATATAAAAGCAATATAAAAGCAAGTAGATCATCTATAACAGTCAGAGTCCAATCTTATAAGTCAGGGAAAGCCTGGAGTCTGGATTTTTCTGCTCTGCAAATTTAAAGGAGGGGGTGTTTTAAGAAACTTTCTGTCCCACCTTTATTCTTCTTTTCTAATGAAATATCAGATTAATTGGGAAGGAGGGCGGTTTGCACCACTCCACTCCCTAAAATGGAGGAAAAAAATATGGCCAAGTATTTCAGCCCAAGACAAAATACCCCATCCACCCAAACCTACTTGTTCCCTTCTAGATTATCTCCAAATGAATTCCAGCCTATTTGTTGACATCTGCCTGTCTCTAGAGAAAATGGAATGCTCCTCCAGAGGTGAAGTCAAACCACCAAAGAATCACAGCTCCTGCTGTGGCTGCAGAGACGGATGACTTGTAACTTTTGGCCACCAATCTGTTAAAATTGTGTGTTACCTGACTTCTTCCTACTCTGCCTGTAGTCTACTGATATTATGACTTTCTCAGAAGCACTGCACACTTCTGATATCTCCTCTGTCATTTCTGCCTTCTCCGAAACGTCTGTTTTCAATACTTCCCTATTCTCAGCTTGTTCTTTTGTTTGCTTTGCTATCCCACTCACCTGCTCAACCTTGAGCTCCGGGTTTCTTGCCTCTAGTTGACATGTTCATTTGGATTCTCATGCTGCTAAGCACCTGTGCAGGAAAACAAAAGATCTGGCTTGTTTTTATTTTATTTTTCATGTTAAATTCATGGGGCACAGTCAGGCCAATGATTATCACTGGTACAAAAAAAAAGTTAAGCATGTGATTTCCATAGGACCAGTGGGAATTTGAAGTACACAGCTTTAGCAGGAACCTGGCATGCTCTTTCTTCTCACCCACCTCCTTTCTACGTCTTTGTACAAGCAATATAACTACACCATCTACCTAGTCCCAATCTTTGACACATCTTTTCTACTCTGATAGTCTGGTAAGGTTTGTCTTGACCCTTCTATCCTTCCCCTCAAGGCCTTGCCTTGCTCCGCCCAGTGATAAATATGTCACATGACTATCACCCCTCCTTTGATATCATAAATTTATTCTTTATCTTCACCATATCACTATCTTTCTCTCTCCTCCTGCTATTTCCACACTTCATACAAACTACTGTTGCTTCCCTCCCACCATACTGGACAATACACAGGCAACATTGGATTGAATCCAGATTTAACCATCTATAGAGTAGACTCACTAATCAATGAGACTTAAATCAAACATTGCCAATTTAAATCCAACATGAAGCCAGGTTGAAATGGGTCTAGGTGATCAGTTTCATCTGAGCACACCTCAGCCATCATATACTCTCCCCCACCTAAAGAGTGGCATTAGCCAATGGATGGAAGCTATTTAATGCCTCAGTGTCTAGCAGAGGTTTCTTAAGAAAGGATGTACCAATGCCTTTTTCAGGGCCATTGGTACCATCATTTTCTGAAAGGCAGCATTTACCACCCGGCACACCTGGCCAATCTCCTGTGACTGTATCTTAAAAGCTAGTGTGGGCAAGGGTCAATAGTAAAAGCATTAGGACCTGTACCTGTAGATGGCCAAAAAAGAAAAATACAAAAAGCCATTCAAAATAGTATCCATGATGGATATTATTATACATTAGAGCAGTGGTTCCCAACAGGTGGTCTGTAGACTCCAGGGGGTCTGCAAAACCCACCCAGCAGTCCATGGCAACATTCACATAGCAAAAACTACCACAGAGATATCAAAAATTTCAAAGGTAGGGGCTTTTGAAAGGCAGGGGATCAGCAGTACTTAGCTAATTGGGAACCACTGCATTAGAGTGAAGCAAACATATTGGAATAAGATCAAACTGAATGTTATAGGTTGTTTTCTTTGGCAGGGGGAAAGGGAGTATTTACCCCCCCCAAAGAAAGAGAGCACTGAACTGGTCAGGAATTGAATCAGAAAGCAATGATCGCTGTGAGGTTTTGTTTCTTATCCTTGTAAACAAAGCTTGTTTAGATAATTGGCATTTTGTTTCAAATGCATCCCAGAAAACATAACGGTATATGGCTAGTGAAATCAATATCTGCCTACTAGTGTCTGGGCTCCCCCATCACCTCCCACTGTGCTACAGTCCTTCCCATAGGTCATTTCTCTGACAAAGGAATGCAGGATGCATTTTGCTACCCACAGACCCAAACTGAGGCTTATGAATCTGTTTGCAACTGCCAGTCAAATTATGCACTTCTCCGAATTTTGAAATGCCTTATCAGTGCATAAAAACAATGCACTAGAATATATATTTTACATAATGTGTTTTACATAATGTGTGTACAAAATGTGTCTTTTACTGCTGAATGCATAGAAAAAAACGTGTATTTTATATAAAAAATGCACACACAATATGTACAATGGTGCAAAATGAGATGGAACTTTCTTATGTTTGAGAGCCAGTGCGAATGAAACAAAATTATCTGCTCCATTCATCCTATTCTGAAGCACTCAAAACAGGGCACCAATAGAGGTTCTTAGGATGTGGGCAGGCTCGTAAGTCAACTACCTCCTGGTATTGTGATAAGAGCAAACACAATAATTAGTCTGAAACTCTTTTCAAGTTAGAAAGAGCTGTACAAATGGTAGCTGTAGCTGTTGTCAGTTGTTACCAGTGGTATAATTTGCTAAAAGCCAAATTACAAATCATGAATGTTCACTAGTAGCCTTCATTCCCACAGTCAGTGTGTGCAATTTATTTTCAAAACATTTCTTGCACACAACAACGGAGAAAGGAAATCAATATCACTGAGCCACTGTCTGCTATCCTTTGCCCAGATTATTTCCATTGTCTACACTGCAAACAAAGACAGGTTGCCCTACTTACTTCCTATAATTTATATCTTATTTGTAGACTGTGGTGGTGGGAAGAGCAGGAGATGATTAGAAATCCAGTAAAAAAAAGGGGGGGCAACTCAGGGGACTCCTATTATTGAAAGTGATCTAATTTTTCAGTTCTTAGAAGCTGCTTATGTCTCAAACCTCAGCCTGACAATACCCTTGATAGGTATTAGTGCAGGCATAGGATTCAACCTTTCAAGATCGAGGGTCTTGTGAGATGCAGTGACATCAGTAATGAAACACATGTTAAAACAAAATCCCAGATAATGGTGTGATGATACTCCCAGGGGTGTGACTCCATGCTGGGCACTTATTTGTAAATGACACTGAATATTATGGATCTCCACCAGTTCTGATCTGGCCCACTCTAACTGCAGTTCCTACTTTTCTGAAAGGATTTAAATAGCGCATACAGGTAGATGTTTCCTATTTGCTTTATTCCATTTTAAGCATACAATCCTAGGTGCACATACTAAGACGTGCATTGAACTATATGTAGTAGGATTTTCCAATGTTTGGGGGCTGTAGGGCACATCTGGAATTTTGATAATGTTCCATCCATGGGGGGCAGTCTCAAGGATTATATATTAATTGTACCATGACAGAAACACACACACACACAAACAATACAAAGCAGTTGTTTTGATCTATTCAGCCTGACCTTTAGATGGGTTTAATTCCTCTATAGTGGATTAGAGATTTCAGTTTATTAACAAAATTAATCATTATATAGATTTAGACCTGACATTTGTGTTATTGACATTCTGGACTCATGCTAATGCGAACTGACGGTATCTTATTTGGTTACTCGGGACTTGTCTCTTCAGAAGTAACTTGCGGTGTGGAAATCTGATTAGCTTTCCATCAATTTTTATACGTGGGGAGGTGGGCTGATAACTAGATATCAATAGAAGAACACTGAGATTGTATCAGGTTCTAAACAAAGTTGGCAATGGACACCAGCTTGAGTTTCTTTCAAAAGGCCTGCCTAAGCAATTGTATACAC